AAAAATTAGTTGTTGTCGAGTTACCTTTGGAATTTTTGTTTACGTGGTAAATCGTACTTAACTTGAATTTCCAAGGGCGATTCGACAGCAACTCATAATATAGCACAGTAGAATACCTATACCAGCAAATGAACAGATTGTAACTAAAATGTCGAAAAGTACCTATATACTGCCTGAAATGAACACAGTGGTTGCCAATGAAATTAAAAAACTACAGATAGATATGTCGATGAAATCGCCAGAAAAGCAAAGACTATTGTTTAGAGAACAATTAGGACCTAATTATACCAACTATAGACAAATTTATACAGATGTGTTTCGCACGGATCAAGGTGTTGGTGGCACTGTGTATACTAAGGAGCTGTCACTGAGTTGGCCCTTATCACGGGGGGGTCACAGTATTCATGGCGGAACAGATTGCGGTATACAAGGCTTTACAGTTAGTGTAGGAACTACTGGACAACGAATTCGTCTTATGCTCGGATTCGAAAAGTGCACTTGACGCAGTAAGTGTATATAACTCGAAGGACGAGCTTTTCAAATTAATTATGATTTGGAAGTGATAAGAAGGAACAGAAAACGTTGGATTTTTTGTGGATGTGTGAAGGTGGACTATGGTGAAATGGTACTGGGAACAACCTACTGTATGTATCCAGACAGGAGCTTCATAGAAGGGACGAAGTGGTCATTAGCAGGATAAGAATCGGGCACATACATATAACGAATGGACATTTACTAGTTGGAAATCCCGCTCCGCAATGTCCAAAGTGTGGGGAAAGATGCCCTCACAGTCGAGCGCATTCTTCGGTACTGCTCTGAAACGAGAGCTTTAGAAAAAGGAATAAACAACATATACAAGAACTATGCCAGGAAAAAAAGAAATGAGAGCTTATTAAGGAGTGAATATCTACAGACATAAAAGTTGAGAAAGGGTAGAAGAAATGGATATGTACTTATCTAAGTCAAATGAAGATAGTCATTGAATACTTACCTGAATCGCTAATAACTCTATCAGCTGATGCGGTTTGTCAAAAAAGGGGAAAAAATCCATAGCAATCTAGAAATATAGACATACGAATATGTATGATAAAGTACAAAAATAATAGATTATGTCGAAAACCGTTGAAGTAGAATAACTTTTGGAAATTTTTTGTGACAATTTGCAAGTCTAGAATAGTTAACGGAAATCCTCATTCGCTGCACTCCACGGCACCTTTAATTAATTGAGCTTCTTCTTCGTTACCTACTGAAGATCGTCTAACCTCCGTCCTTTATACTTATTGTAAACGGTTCTGTATGCTATGCCGCCCTGTTAATGGACCAGCCATTTTCAACGATTTGTTGGAGTGCATTTTCAAGGTTTTTGGCACTAAAATCGTCGACTTCAAACTTTCCTGGCGTACAGAAACGTGGTTGAACAGGAGCCTTTGCGGGCCGAATGAAATAGCATCTTTCTGAGGGAAATTCAAACCTGTTTGAATTTTTTTTTATCAAAGTCCCCCTAAACTTAAAGTCACCCCAAATTACTGTACTTGTTTTTTTGTTTGATTTTCGCTTACAGAGTCTAATTGTAATTTGTATGTAGTGTGTTTAGTAATTCGTATTTTAAAAAAAAAACATTAAAACCATTAGCTGCAGTTTCCAAAGGGGCAAAGACTACGTTCTGTATGACTGAATCCCGCCTCTTCACCCCCTGGCTATGGGCCAATGGATCTACAATTGTAGAAAAACCACTGAATCCAATATTTGATGAAGGAAGTTATCCTAATCACCTTTAAACCGTTTGAGCAGGTTCTAGTAATTTCTAACAATACACCTCAATTTGTTACCACCTGTACAGCAATGAAGTCTCCTTTTAATATAATTATTGTAGATTCAGTATAGTACAGCAAATTTGTATTATTCATTAATTTTTTTTTAACAATTGTGCTTCTACTGTAGGTTCTGTTTGGGGACAATGATAAAGGAAAGAGTGATATATTAGAACTTTGCCTCTACTGTTCTGCATGATGAATAGATTTGACACAATGTAAAAAATATTGCCCCCTTAGGTCACTAGGCAGTATCATGTGCTATGTTCGGAATCGGGGTTTATTAACAAACGCTTGAAATCTTTACTGAAAAGCTGCTTATTTTTGATTCTAGAGAGACTTCTGCGTCGTCTCTCATCATACTCTATACGGTCTGTTATTTCTACCCACATCATATATAGAAATCTTTCTCCGACACTGAAAAACCGCTTGTACCTAATTGCGAACGTGACGTACGTTGAACAACTTAATAAGCTTTCTTCAAATGTAATTTCGCACTTTAAAAAAGTCAAGGGGAAAGTGTAATCTTGAATCTTTAAATTTGTAATTTTTAATCTGACGAGAACCTTTTAAAACTTTAATGCTCTTTTAAATTAAATTCCTTGGTAGCTTCCAGGAGATTAAACGGGACAAAAACACTACAGTCATTAATGAAATATACGCAGGTAATACACAGCTATAGAAATTAATTGTAAAAGATGAAAGTAAAGTTGTCTTTTGTACGTTGTTAACTCAATTATAATTACGAAAGCGGTTGTCAAGTTATTACCGTCACTATTAATTAAAGAAAATTCTCTCATTCGATTACTACTCTAAGTGCTGAAAGATTGGGGGGCGTCTTTGTTAAGGAAATCGAGGTATATTATAATTTCGTTAAGGTAGGTTGAGGAAGTTGATGTGTTCGAGAACAAATTGGTCTTTGAAAAGCATGCCGAAGTATTTCATATAAGTAATGTAATGTTGTGTGCGCCTCATCCCTCTAAGTAAATAAATTAATAATTTGATCATTCCTTCTGAAACGTCGATTCTTTTAAAACGTAGCGATTACGGACAACTACTCTTTCTTAGGGCACTTTGATGTTGTTAGTAATGTTTACATATTTGGTTGAGGCAAGATGATACGTGAACTTTCTCTGAGGAATGCCGCAGTATTTCTGGTGTGTGTCAATTCGATTACCAGTAACTAACATTTTTACATAATACCAAAGGACTACTGTAACCGCCTTTTGTCAATTTCCACACCATCTCACCATCTTCGGTTCATATTATTTTTATTTAAAAAAAAGTTATCCCGACTCACTTCACAATTTAGCCTCCTTTCCCTGTTGTTTTTCACTAATGCAGTATAAGTTTGCAGACAGCTTTTCTTGCAGTTCTTTTCGAGTATTCTTGACCACCGTCTATATTCTCAAATATAAACTGGAGCTGTTGTTGGTTATCCTTAAAGTGTTCCATGTGTTTATGATAGTATATGGAAAAAAGCTCTTTCTTCTTAAATAGTGTGTTCCAATTCTATTCTCTACCTATCTCTAAGACACGATTACTAAACAATGGTGACTCAGCTTCCTTAAAGTTCTGGTTGCTGGTTTGCCCTTAATTTATCGCAATCCTCGAGGAAAACCCTTTACTCATTTATCGAATCCATGAAGAAGTTTGCCATTTTAAAACCATTTCTGCAAAGTGTTTAAACGAAAACATATTAACTTCGATTGTACATTTACAAACCCTAGTTCTCTCTCAGCACAGGCCCATTTCCTTACAGCTTCCCTGTTTCTCTCGCCATATCAAGTTGAGAAGCAGCACTTATTTGTGCCTTGCTGAGACATGCCATTTTTAGGCGCTTGGTTAACTATTGACTTTTGTCTAACAAAAGAGGAATTTAGCAATCTCACTACAACTTTTATAGGGTTCGTGAAAGATATGCATTTTAGGGACTGCCGGCATAAGGAGAGAAAGGGTTCAATGGCTAACGAATATAATGGTTTAGAAAGAGGGAATCCTATTTGCGTATGCTTTTTTTCATAGAAATTGTGCTTGTCAGTAGTGTAATAAACTCAATATAACTCCACAGCGGTAATGAAAAACTCCCTAGGTTAAACAGTTCGGAAAATCTCTAGGCAAGTGGATTTCACCGAAAATTGATAAATTTTACATGGAACGGGAAAGGATTATATCTTATAGATAGACGTTGATCTGTTGAATCCAAAACAAACAAAATCTTCAATAATGGACCACTTCATCATTCCTTTTTGTTTGGAAACTGATTTTTTTATGTAGTCGTCCAATCTTGAAAATTCAGACAGCACATACAGAGTGATAAATAACATTTTACTGTTATTTATTATTTATTATTATTTGTTATTTATGTTATAAATTTATTGTTAATTATGTGTACATAAATAAAGCACGTAATTAAATTTACGTTACAATACCATGATGATAGAAGCATATCGTCATTTACATTATCCATTTTTATTTCTTGGAATGTCACAATTATTAACGTTTAACAATCCGTTCACAATTATGCGTTCGCGTTTACTTTCAACGTTTAATGTCAACATTTGTTTGTAAGTGCGTAATCCGTCTGTAATTAAATTATGTATGTAATTAATCTGTAATTCATGGATAATCGGAGAGCACTGTGAGCCTCTAGTGAAATGGAATATAGAAATTCCAGTTGCTTCTTTGTAAATGTTTCTCTGTTGTAGTGGTTGGAGGTGGATGAAGTCTTTCATTTAGACTTTATGATTGCGTACATATTATAGTGTTACTAGTGTCATCTTGTGCATTTAGGTGCTATTTGGCCCATCTCTTTGCAGTTGTGTCACTTTACCTCCACCCCAATACGTGCTCCAATGAATCGCATAAGCGATAGTCATTTCAGATTGTTGTTATTTAGTTAGTTTAGAAATCGGGGAATACAAGGAGAAACATTGGATAACATAATTCCTTTAAAGATGAATTTTCCAGTAGACACAAACATCTAATTCGCGTTAATACCACCCTCCAGCAATTAATCGTAAACTAGTTCTTTTGCTGTAAAATAAATGCAAATTCTGTTGTTGCTCATTCTCGAAGCAAAAGGGTTGTTTTTGGGACCTATGACTTTATCCGTGGCAATCCTTACATATCCTTTCGCTCCAAGACCATCGATTGCAGAAAGAACTACCGCTTGGTTGTTCATCGGAAATGCCAGATCCAGTGACTACAATGGAAAATAGTGGCGATTTATCGTTACCGTTAGATGTCTGTGGTTGCGAATTGATCGACATTTGCGGTTTCGTTCGTTTTGGTTTGAAAAATGTAGAAGAACATTTGGTTCGGTTATAGGAAAAGAACAGTAATAAAGATTTCGAAGTACCACTTTATCGGTTAACGATTAACGAAGTGAACCTTTTAACTTGTAACCACCACTTACGCGGTTATAGCATTATGGAAAATGTTTCTCATGTTTATTATACTGTACAACCTGGCAGTTTTAGTTACAAAATCATTTTTGTCTTGTCTGATTGATTGAAACTACAAGATTTGTTTATCTTGTGGAATATCGCTTGTCACATTTGGACAGCTGAAAAGATCAGGAGTTGGAGGGCGGATGACATTTACCTATTAAAAAAAACGTTCTAATATACATAGTAGCCAAATTTACCTTGCTAGTTATTAGTTGAATACGTTCTACTGTCAAATATAAGGGTAAATGAAGATAAAATACGAGCCACCGTTTTATGTAATATTAAATGTAAAATTCTAGTCCGAAGGTTTCGCTTTAATTACTGAAAATGGATTTCCCAAGTGGCGAATAACAAAGTAGCGCCCCTATCAAAATTTGTATTTGGAAGGTCTTTATATCCCTTACTGTCATTATCATACCGTTCAAGTATAATCGTAAGAACAATTCGCTTTCGAATCGATTCTGAAAATTCAAAATATTATTTGTTACAGATTGAAGTTTTGGAAACATATTCAAACCCTCGTGACTCCAGGCAACAATTAAGTCAAGAGGAGACTGATATAAAATGTTTTACTAGTCCAGATCGAGAATATTCCCAACCATATACTACCGGTAAGTTACACATAATCGTACTTTATCTACCTCTAGCTTCAGAAAGTCTACGAGATAATACCAAATTTTTAACAAAACCGCTATTACCACTGCACCCTGCTTATGGAAATCGATTTCGACCATTCCTTTAAAATATTGCGTCACCTAATATGAGTCATTCATTGCCGCTCGTTATCCTTTCTCACATGTAGGAAATAAAAGACTTCTGCATCTTTCTTATTGAAAGTATGAGGGATGTACATTTGCGAGGGTAACTTCAAATTTAAATGGAATTTACTAATACCATAATTAAATCAACGATTTGAAGTAATCCTTTGAGGCCATCTAAATTGGGACACCTACATCTTAGCTTTACGGCAACCGCCCATTTCGTATTGTGATGTTTTCAAGTTGAGTTAATCATTCCAAAGTGATGCAACATACATTATGGATGGCATTTTTAAGCAAAATCAAAATTAATGAGTACCTACCTATTGAGTATTGCTTTGGTTAGGTATATTCGATCATCCTGTAAACTGGTACCATTTTACAAGTGTGTTGGTATTTATTAAAATACGGGCTTTTCTTTGTGAAAGTTGGTAACATAACTTTATACGGGTATGCTGATTCCAAAAAACCATGTTGCACCCCTAAATCCTAAACCCGACGGTTAAGGTGGGAAAATTAGAATTCTAAATGGCTGCGACAAGGGGCAGCTGGCTTATATTAATATATCTCTTTTTGTGTGGCGAATATCGTAATTTATGTAATGAATGTTTAAGAACATTAATTATCTTTCAAATGACTCCATGCTTGACCGGAAGTAGCCAAAATACGAAATTCTTGCAGAAAGTAGTAACATGTTGGTATTTAGTTTATCTTCTATATTTCTTGACAGCTTAAGTAGTCGTTTTATTTTATTGATCGCCGTCAAATTTCGGTTAAAATGAGCAGCAGTTGTGATCGAAAGTGAGAACCGGAAATACCAAATAAAGTAGGACAGTGTGTATTATTTCTGTACTTATACAATATTTGAATATTGAGTAGCTTAAAAAAGGTCAGAATTAATTTAATATCGTCTCTGGTTAAATTCGGCAAACAATGCCAGCATCAGGCTACAAATAGAGCATATTAATTATAAAATAATAAATTTATAATTAATATTATACTCTATTTGTAGCCTGATGATAGCATTGTATGCCGAAACTCGTAGCATTTTCCGCCTTTAAATGTTATTACTCACCGTAATTGAATTTTACAACAATTAAAGTTTTGTGGGGAATGGTTTGTGTTGGATCTCCATTAACGATTGACCCCATTGTGTGATAATCAACATTAAGATGGACCTCAACAATTAGGCTAGATGTCATTTCTAACACTTTCATCTCCAGGTTGTAAGTTGCATAGCAGTTTTTATGCCAGAAAATCGAAGGGCATTGTATGTTCATAGGCACTATCAATTCGAGAAATTACATCTTGGTAGACTGAGTCACTTTTAGAGTTTGTAACCATCGCTGCGTTTCTTTGTATGGTACATCGTCAGCAAGCTCAGTTTTTTTGTGATAGTCAGATGTACATTTCCAGTAATGAAAAGTGGCGTTTACACAATAAATCCATATTAGGCAATTAATTTACAAGAAATAATCTTTTTCAAAAAAAGGGTACCTTCACGGTTAATATTAATTTAGAATATTGCTACATTTAGTACTTCTGTTTCTCACTTTCGGTTACAACTCTTGCTCATTTTAAGTGAAATTTCACGGCATCAATGAAACATAAGGACGACTTCAGCTCTCAAACATTATAAAAGATAAACTAAATATTAAAATGTTGCTACTTTATGTAAGAATCCCGTATTGTATATTCTTTACGTAATTTCGATATGAGTAGAAACTTCACTATCGCTTCTTGTTACACAAGACACTATTTTTCTCTGTAATTTCTGTCACATAATGTTTGTCCGAAACCAGCACCCAGACTTACCATGTTAAGTAAGGTCGCACGTTATAATTGTCGTTGCAATAAGAATTGGAAAAATATACTAATCAATAATACCATTAAAGATTAAACTATCAATTTTACCGAAGTACATGGGGGGAGTTTCTACCCGATTAGAACAAGTGCAAGGAAAGGGATTGAGATCGAAGGGATAACCGAAGGTGTATTGAAGCTTAAGTTCCTGTTCCGGAGATTTGATGGTCGTACATTGAAGCGTACCTAATTGAATAGCAAGATGAACACGTAAATAGGTGTCCATTCAAAAGGTATCATACATAAAGCTACCTTATATTGGCATATTTTCAAAATTCACATTACACTTTGTTGTTAAATCCAAACTAAAGCGCTGCTTTGATGATTTACATATTATGAATAATCAGAGAACGTCAACCGCAGAGAATCTACCTTCCACAGCGATAGAAGGTTCTGCTTATTACGCTTATGAAAAGGCGATTAAAATGTAATTAATTCAATTACCTGAAACGGTTTTAAATTTAATATACACTTTACCGCATTATAAATAACACTCCACACTATTTCATTTCGAATTATAACAATCAGCATTCATTGTTAATAAGCAAAAGCCTTTGGGGTGAAAAACTGCGTTATGAAATCACATTTTCTGCCTTGTCGGTGTCCTCCGGGACTGTACGGGAAAACAATTTTTAATTCGCTGTTTTTGACATTCAGGGCATAGTCGTGGGTCTGCCTTTTGGATGAATCCATAAATGACCAAAGCGCGAGTGACAAACAAATTTCAAAGTTCATTATTAAAACGTTAAAATGCATTTGATATTAACGTCACGTCGTTATTTAGCATTAGTTCAATGTTTAAGAATTGAATTTCATGTGTATCGATTTAATTAGAAGAACAAGCACGATGCCGGAGTAGGTGGGGAAATGGAAAATGGACAGGACCTGAGCTTTAGGTGCTATATAATTTAATATTTATTTATTTAGTATATAATTTCAATTAAGGCTCCCCTCTCTAGAATAAAATACAATTTTGAAGTACAGAGGTCCACAATAATAATATTCGAGAAGAACTTTTAATTAGTCTAGGCGATAAAGACATCTAACTGGACATTTTGAGGTGGAAAAGAAAAAATGGTGGAATATGTTCAGTTAGGTGTCAGAAACAACATATTAAAAATCCCACCACCCAGACCCTGTGCTAAAGGCTCCAGCAACCCCACCATCCCCCAAAAACCGTGTTTTCGCTCTTTTTAGCTGATATCTCGCGATCTATGAGGTCTATATGAAATATTTTTAGCTGAAAATATTTCTCGGGAAATTTTATACAAGGTAGATACTCAGAAGTTAGCCTAGGTGTACCTCTTAGCCTAGGAATTTCATAAAAGAGGCGAAAATCATCAATTTTCGTGGCTTTTTGCAAATATATCGCGACCTTTAAGGCTAGATGAAATATTTTTAGTTGAAAATGCTCCTCGTGAAATTCCTTACAAGGTAGATACTCAGAAGTTGGCCTAGGTGTACCTCTTGTCTAGAAAATTCATAAAAGGAGGCGAAAATCATCATTTTCGTGTTTTTTTGCGGTTTTTTGCAAATGACCTTCAGGGCTAGATGAAATATGTTTAGCTAAAAATGCTATTCGTGCAATTTCATACGAGATAGGTAACTGAAGAGTTGGCGTAAAGTCACCTTTCACCTTCAACTTTCATGTGTGAGGAAATATTCATTGTAAAACAAAATTTCTATGTACCATTTATTCACGTAAAAACAGTATTTTCATATTAAAATATTCACACATTCATTTATACCTCAACGTAATCATTATCCTCTGCAGATTCGACTTCTTCAAGCTCTTCGACGTCCTCTAGTGCTAGTGGGTCGTCTGAAATTACCGACTCGTAGTTCTCCTCGCCTTCCGCTTTACCTGCATGGGCACCCTGAAACGACGACGTCGCATTTAGGCACGATCTTCCATGACACTGGACGCAGAATTCGTTCTTCAGACCTACAATAAGAAGTAATGCTTCTTGTTGTAGGTCTGAAGTGTAATGAACTCTGCGTCCTGTGTCATGGAGCATCGTGCCTAAATGCGACGTCGTCTCTTCAGGGTACCCATGCATCAGGTAAAGCGGAAGACGAGAACTACGAGTCGGTAATCTCAGACGACCCACTACCACTAGAGGACGTCGAAGAGCCTGAAGAAGTGGAATCTGCATCTAGTCTATAACTTTTGATTGAGAAGTCTGATCGAAAAAGTACGAATTGATTTGGATTCTACGCACCCAAATTAATAAGAATAAGTGTTTTCCCGGGAAATTTTGGTGTAGTCGATTTTTGGTAAAAAAGGAAGGTTATACACTGCCTTTTTTTGAGCCCGAAAAAAAAATTGTCTCAGATCGACCCGGAAAAAAATTTTCTTATAGAATGTGGCCTGTAGAATCCATAATTTCAAACAGTTCCAAGATTGGGATACTAGTTCAAAAGTTACAGCCCTTTGAATTTTTTTTCAAATTGGTTTCTAGTCTATAACTTTTGATTAAGAAGTCTGATCGAAAAAGTACGAATTGATTTGGATTAGTATAAGGATAATGATTACGTTGAGGTATAAATGAATGTGTGAATATTTTAATATGAAAATACTGTTTTTACGTGAATAAATGGTACATAGAAATACTTTGTTTTACAATGAATATTTCCTCACACATGAAAGTTGAAGGTGAAAGGTGACTTTACGCCAACTCTTCAGTTACCTATCTCGTATGAAATTGCACGAAGAGCATTTTCAGCTAAACATATTCCATCTAGCCCTGAAAGTTGCGATATATTTGCAAAAAACCGCAAAAAAAAACACAAAAATGATGATTTTCGCCTCCTTTTATGAATTTTCTATGCTAAGAGGTACACCTAGGCTAACTTCTGAGTATCTGCCTTGTAAGAAATTTCACGAGGAGCATTTCCAGCTAAAAATATTTCATCTAGCCCTAAAGGTCGCGATATATTTGCAAAAAGCTACGAAAATTGTTGATTTTCGCGGCTTTTATGAATTTCCTAGGCTAAGAGGTACACATAGGCTAACTTCTGAGTATCTACCTTGTATGAAATTTCCCGAGAAATATTTTCAGCTAAAAATATTTCATATAAACCTCATAGATCGCGAGATATCAGCCAAAAAGAGCGAAAACACGGTTTTTGGGGGGGCTGGAGCCTTTAGCACAGGGTCTGGAGGGTGGGATTTTTAATATGTTGTTTTTGACACCTAACTGAACATATTCCACCATTTTTTTCTTTTCCACCTCAAAATGTCCAATTTGCCAATTTTACAGTCTCTATCGCCTAGACTAAATTTCTTGTTGCGAAAAAATTCTGCGTGTATCATATTTCAAACGGCGAATTGTCTACGTGTTGGGTCTATTATTATGCTTTATTATTGTAATACATTTACCTATCAAATATCAATATCAGAATATGATATCCCATGGCTGGTTTAGCTTATCTCATTCACGTGTCGTACTAATACTAGAATTGCCCTTTCCCAATTTCATTTGCAATAGTGCTATGTAACAGACAAGTCCAATGGCATCTAAGACAATTGTAACGTATATTGACGAAGATAGAAATACAAGTTTACATTATCTTGCGATACGTGGTGAATTGGAAAAAATTGAAGAAGAATTGAAAAGTAATAACGAAATCGACCCAGGTAATTACCTAGGATGGACGCCTCTCATGATGGCGACCCGTTATGGTAACATTGACGCGATAAAATATCTTTTATCGAAACATGCAGATGCTACCCGTGTTAATAACTTTGGTTTGTATTTATTTTATTGCAAGAACTTGGTAGATAATGCTTTTTAGGATGTAACATCTTGTTAGCGGCCGTTGCATCAGGAAGTTTAGAAGTAATTGCCATAATATTACAACACCTTCTCTTGGGAGGAATATCCAAGCAAAGTATGCAACACATATTTTCACCAATATCGCTCGCTATTTTATTTGATAAAATCGATGTAGTAAAGTACTTAATTGAAAAGGGATTCTGTGTGAATATTGCTACCCCTATTACCGGTATTTGGATGTTATTTTTTGATGCCAGTTTATTATTAGTAAACTATTACAGAATTGACACCAATGACATTTGCGGCTACTATGAGAAACGCTGAAATCATTCACTTTCTTCGAAGTAAAGGTGCAAATGAAGAGAATAAGTTAGAAACTACTCCTGGCCCACATCATCATTATTCGGTCACACCACAGCCACTATTTTTTGTAAACTCCCCTCAAGCCCAACTGGTCTGTCTTTCTCCAATGCCCAACCATTGTCCAGAGCGCCTTCCAAACTTCAATGCAAATTCACCCTTTACGTATCCTCAATATTTTTTCCCTCAGAGCTTTTCTCATTATTCAAATTCCTCAAATGTACCACTGCCTTGTGAACCAAGTGTAAATGTCGAACGTCCTATAATTTTCCATAATAACAAACTAGTGCTGTCCCCATATAACACACCTTATTAATTTTTTAATTTTGACAAATATATTACGACTTAAAGCTTTTTAAAAAATGATCTAAACATTTATAAAATTTCCTAAAATAATGAATAAAAATATTGATTTTATAAAGTAAATTAACAGTCTACTATTATTTGAATTGTGTACAATTCCTAAGAAGACCAAAAAAAGTGCGGAAAGGGTATTCTGACTTACCTGTAACTAAAATGATAACCTAAGGAGCTAAGTACAAGTAAATTAGCACTAACCAATCACCATGTCAGTTTATGTCGGGCAATTGAACGTATTTCCTGCTGCATAGTAGCACCATGCTACAACAAACAAGATTTTATACATTTTTGAGTGTCCATTTCGCATTCACTAGCATTTGTTAGCGCTCTATTGGTCATGAAAAATTTTTACAGACATCCAGATCTATTACTATCGCATTTTTCAACGAAGTTGTGTGCGCTATTGGCACAATCGTGGCTTCTGTGCCCGGTAAGGCCCAAATAGCATCGATATGTTTTAAGAAAGTACTTTAGGAATCGACAATGTCAACATTCTTGTTTATGGGGGTACTTCTTTGAAATTTAACCACAGATTGTGTCTGGGCAGATCCCCTCTTCTCTGTACGGTTTTCGGTATTTTCCTTTTTTCCTGTACTAGCTCCAAGACTGCTTCGTTTGTTACCCTAGCCATTCAGCTAATCCTCATTTTCCTTCTATAGCACCACATTTCAAATGCTTCTTTCCTACTTCTATCTTCCCTGCTTATAGTCCAGGTTTCTCATCTGTATAGACTATACTTCATATATGTACGTTTTTAGTAGCCTTTTCCTAATTCCTATATTTATCCAGGATCTTAGCAGATCTCACTTTCGTTCAAATGCTTTTTTTGCTCTGCGCTATCCGGAATTTTATATCTTCCTTGGTACGATTATCTTGTGTAACCTTATACTACCTAAATAGCGAAATTCCTTTACATACTTTAAAGTTGTCGTTTACTATTCGGATCTTTATCATTTTCCTATTCTCTCTTTTTGCGCATTTGCTTACTTTTGTTTTTTTCCTTGTTGATCTTCATACTGTAGTCTCTAGCTAGTATTCTCTCCATACCGTTTAGTCCTGTTTCTATAGATACATATCTCCCTTTCTGCTAGATTACTATGTCGTCCCCATACTTCAGTATATGTAATTGTCTCGCCCTGCACTTAACCCTTATGTTAATTACTCTATATATTTATGGCTTCTTCTATGTAAAGGTTAAATATTGCTGTCGACAAACCGCAGCCTTGTCTAACTCCTTCTGCAGCTTGGCCTCCACCTCCTCGCCCTCTACGTTAATCACCGTTCTCTGTTCCTTGTAGAGGTTTCAAATTACCCTCCTATCTTTATATGCTGTCCCTGTCTCCTTCATTACTTATAAAGTGTTCCAATTAACCCTATCGAATGCTTCTAAATCTACGAAAACCATGTAAGTTGTTTTTCCTATACCCTCAGCCTCTCATCTAAGATTGTCCTAAGTAAGCTGGTTTCTACTCCTAACATATCTCCAGCGTTTACCTATTGATAATTCAGGATTTCTTCGCGGAAATCGTTGATAAAGAAGGGGACGGTACTTTAAACGTATAACTTTTTAAGGGTTGCAGTGTTGTGAAGCTGATGTGTGCAAGCTGTTTCGGCCCTTTACTACAAATATAATTAATACCATTCACCAATTAAAGGTTACGTGTAGAAGCAATACGTAAGTGTGTGGTTGAATTTTTACGCTGCAAAGGGTTGTTGTTGAGGTTGAATAAGTTAAGTGCTTGTCTTGTATGATTAGTCTAGGCGATAAAGACATCTAACTGAACATTTTGAGGTGGAAAAGAAAAAAATGGTGGAATATGTTCAGTTAGGTGTCAGAAACAACATATTAAAAATCCCACCACCCAGACCCTGTGCTAAAGGCTCCAGCCACCCCACCATCCCCCAAAAACCGTGTTTTCGCTCTTTTTGGCTGATATCTCGCGATCTATGAGGTCTATATGAAATATTTTTAGCTGAAAATATTTCTCGGGAAATTTCATACAAGGTAGATACTCAGAAGTTAGCCTAGGTGTACCTCTTAGTCTAGGAAATTCATAAAAGGAGGCGAAAATCATCATTTTCGTGTTTTTTTGCGGTTTTTTGCAAATATATCGCGACCTTCAGGGCTAGATGAAATATGTTTAGCTGAAAATGCTCTTCGTGCAATTTCATACGAGATAGGTAACTGAAGAGTTGGCGTAAAGTCACCTTTCACCTTCAACTTTCATGTGTGAGGAAATATCCATTGTAAAACAAAGTATTTCTATGTACAATTTATTCACGTAAAAACAGTATTTTCATATTAAAATATTCACACATTCATTTATACCTCAACGTAATCATTATCCTCTGCAGATTCCACTTCTTCAGGCTCTTCGACGTCCTCTAGTGCTAGTGGGTCGCCTGAAATTACCGACGTTACAGCCCTTTGAATTTTTTTTCAAATTGGTTTCTACTCTATAACTTTTGATTGAGAAGTCTGATCGAAAAAGTACGAATTGATTTGGATTCTACGCACCCAAATTAAGAAGAAAAAGTGTTTTCCCGAGAAATTTTGGTGTAGTCGATTTTTGGTAAAAAAGGAAGGTTATAATACACTGCCTTTTTTGAGCCCCGAAAAAAAATTGTCTCAGATCGACCCGGAAAAAATTTTTCTTATAGAATGTGACCTGTAGAATCCATAATTTCAAACAGTTCAAAAGTTACAGCCCTTTGAATTTTTTTTCAAATTGGTTTCTACTCTATAACTTTTGATTGAGAAGTCTGATCGAAAAAGTACGAATTGATTTGGATAAGTATAAGGATAATGATTACGTTGAGGTATAAATGAATGTGTGAATATTTTAATATGAAAATACTGTTTTTACGTGAATAAATGGTACCTACATAGAAATACTTTGTTTTACAATGAATATTTCCTCACACATGAAAGTTGAAGGTGACTACGCCAACTCTTCAGTTACCTATCTCGTATGAAATTGCACGAAGAGCATTTTCAGCTAAACATATTTCATCTAGACCTGACGGTCGCGATATTTTTGCAAAAGACCGCAAAAAAAACACGAAAATGATGATTTTCGCTTCCTTTGATGAATTTTCTAGGCTAAGAGGTACACCTAAGCTAACTTCTGAGTATCTAACCTTGTAAAAAATTTCACGAGGAGCATTTTCAGCTAAAAATATTTCATCTAGCCCTAAAGGTCGCGATATATTTGCAACAAGCCACGAAAATTGATGATTTTCGCCGCTTTTATAAATTTCCTACGCTAAGAGGTACACCTAGGCTAACTTCTGAGTATCTACCTTGTATGAAATTTCCCGAGAAATATTTTCACCTAAAAATATTTCATATAGACCTCATAGATCGCGAGATATCAGCCAAAAAGAGCGAAAACACGGTTTTTGAGGGATGGTGGGGTGGCTGGAGCCTTTAGCACAGGATCTGGAGGGTGGGATTTTTAATATGTTGTTTTTGACACCTAACTAAACATATTCCACCATTTTTTTCTTTTCCACCTCAAAATGTCCAGTTTGCCAATTTTACAGTCTCTATCGCCTAGACTAGATGGAACGTTAAATAGAAACATTTTTCAGTATTGAAGCATTGAAGTCGTTGTTTTTACACCAGGGATCAAAAGGATAAAGGAATAGCATCAGGGACCCTCTGCCTTTCTTTTTCTTGTGAAGAGGACTAGCTTTGTTCCCTGCACCATTTTTAATGAATTAAATAATTTTTACAAGCAAGCTACAGTTCAGAATAGTCCTTAAAAGCATTCTACACATTTTATAGACGTGCATTTTCTATATTCTGCTCCAATGTAAAAATTGTGCAAAGTGTATGGTGTTATGAAATAATCCTGTGGCACACACTTTAATAAATTTTCAGTTTGAGAGAGAACTTAAATTAACGCATGTAACCGCCCAAATCTTTCTTTTGCTTTGTTTGATCTGTTAGCTTGAAAGGAGAGTGTAATTAGATTTAGAGTTCACGTCGCTTATTTTAAAGACTTGTTAGCATTGGAAAATACAATCGGCAAAATATAATATAATACATACAATTGCCACTTCAATACCTTCTGTAATCTTCGGGTTTTATAGGGGGTACCGATCGATGATGCCAGTATAGTGGTTAATAAAACTTCAAAGCGGAAAAATGCATCTAGAATACATCCATTTCATTTGATCCGGAGGTCAATTAGGCAAAATAGGATAAGTAAGGAATATAACAGACAATGCGTTGATAGAAATGAAGGATAAAATAGCGGAAGTCCTTAGTTACATTTTTTCAATCTCGAACTTAACATTAATGATGACGGTTGTCGAAAAATATTCTTAGGGTGAGATTTAGTTCCGTAAGTATCGTACCCAATCAACTTCGCTCATTCATCGAAATTTCCATTTTCCCTATTATTAATTTTCTCGCATTACGCAATTTTTGGTCGCAATGAAATTCAAGTAATTCTTTAAAAATTAAAGGAGCGGGTGTTTAAATTTGTCCGCGAAGTAATTTCACACGTCAATGTAACCACAAGCTACTGACGCATTTCATTTTAGATTACTGTGTGTTTTCGAATTTAATTACGCCGGATTAACAAGAGGGGTGAAATTCGCATGTATCGTGCAGATGATGTATTTACCACGGCGAATATTACCGTTTGACTAAATTCCGTTCATGTGTCAAATTTGAAATAAATTTCTTAATTTGTGACATAAATTTAGTTCGGGAAAAATCTGTCGAGTTAGGGAAGTAACCACCTACTGCCTATTTATTGCGTTTATGAGACATTTATTCTGAAGCCAAAGATCTACGACATATATTTTTTTATAGTTTGCAGGATCTCAACTACAACCCTTCTTAATTCAGACATTTATTAAAATTTTACACCCTTGCTTTCCATATCTATACGTCGGGGATTGAAGGAAACAGCGTGATTTACAGCTTTGATATACATGAGTTTTCATGAAAGCCGGAATGAAAACCTTTCTCTACTTTTGGAAAAAAATTATCAAATTTTTCAAATAATTATGCGCAACCATTTGTATGCCAAATGAAAAATGATTGTGGG